ATCATGCAGATATCATAGCAACATCAATTATGAATTTGTTTAACATATACTCTTCCTTTAAAAGTGTAGTTTTGCTCAACTACTATCTCATTCTTTTTCTATCTAGTTCCTCTTGCCAGTGTTCAAGTCATGTTTGAAGAAAGTAAATAAATGTGTTCTTACCAAATGAACAAAGTTTGCTGTAGAAAGAATACCATAACGAAAAACTACAACACAACCATGCAAAGCAGTTGTAAGTTTCCATTAGAATCAATTTCAAATATCTTAATATGAATAATTAAAGCCACAAGTTGTATCAGTTGGACCCAAGCTTTCAGGCATCTGTTTCATAATTAATGAGGTCACATGTTGCCATATTTTCACCATGCTAAATACTTAAAATCTATTATTTATCATGGCATGTCAGTCTATTAAGACTGGATGGGGACTAAATCAGTGACAATGAATTGTTCTGTTGAAGTTGTTTGTCCTTACATTAGTGCTGTGTTTAACAGTGAAAAACTCAAAGATTGAATTAAAGTACATATCATACAGAAAATGTACTGTTTCAGGTTTTATATGCTCTACTGTTAAAGATGCACTTTTGATACAAGTACAGTATACATATTTAAAAAGGTTGAAATATTTGTAATTCAGAATATGGACAGAAGCATTCCATTGCATACTGAGTGAAAGCCGATTTCATTTTGAATTAATGCCATATATGTAAAACACATGTTTCCATCTATTTGGAATTTCAAGCATTTTATTTTCTCCATAGGAATACATACAAAATGAAAACAAATATGGGAAACATTTTGTTGCTAAATCCTTCTACAAATTACATACAAATTGCAAAACCACCTAATTAGGCACAAAGACTTTATAAAAAAGTACATTGTTCAATTCAACATATTGTAAAAGGAAACCCTTAATTTTGTATGGTTATAGCAGTGACTGCATACACATACCAGTAAGAATATGTGACAGCTGTTATGAAATATGATTAGTAAAATTATTCTGCCTGTTACTACAATGGGGCATGTATGCATGAATGATTGAAAAGTGTCTTGTGTGGAAATTACAAAAAATGTTTGAAAAGAAAATTGTATGTAGGAAGCAAGATCTATAAAGAACCTCAGAGATCTTTTTTTCAATGCCTTCTCCCCAATATGTGTATAAAGATATTTGAAAAGGCTATTCTTTTGTTTCAGGGTTCAGAACAACTCCTCCTTCAACTGGAGAGAAAAATATATTTTGCTGAAGAGAATGACGGAAAGGTATTTAATTTTGTATAATATGCATCATTTATTCAATGCTAGATTATTAACTATTATATCCAAGCATCAATGTATCATTTTGCAGGCTGATTGTAAACTTGCCAATGAAAATTTCTGATAATGTCTCCCAGTGTAAAATTGTTGTTGTCATTGCATACTCTTGTAAATGTTCACATTTGGGGTGATATGTATTTCTTTTTTTATTTGCAACTGTATTCTTGTTTGTGCTACTGCTTGTTACGTGATATATTTATGATACATGTACTAACTTAATTTTCAATATTTTTGAGGTGTGTACAAGATTTTTGTGTACACCCCCCCAAATTGTAATGATGGAGGAAGTGATTGATTCACCAATGTAATGAGTTACTTTTTTATTTTAGCCCAGGTTTAGAGTAAGAAAAATGTTTATTAAGCAAAAATTTATTACATGTTGCAAGGTGTTCAATGCATGTTGATTATAATATATTTATAGCATTTATACTATACCACAAAAACGTTTATAATAGTGTCACTATGTTATTTTTCATAAAACGTACCTATGTATTTATAATAGATGTTACTGCCTTATTTACAGTTTTGCAACCAGATCTGTGGAAGATTTCTTGCTTAAAGAAGCAATAGCATTTCTAGTGGCAAGAAAGAATGGTATATCATTAAAAACAGCCGATGAGCTTTGCCAGCTAACAGAGATGCTAAAAAGATAAGGTAACTACATGTAAATACAAATCTGCTTGAATTCTATTGTATCTTATACCAACACTTGAGAAAATACATTAACAAAATTATCTCTGTTTTGTCATCAGGTGGGAAAAGCCAGACTTCAATAGCTTCATCAGACATTACCACAATCCATGAAAAAATAATTGTTTTTGGGAGTGATAGAATTATTAGAAGAAAAACATAAATTATCTTTTGAGTTGTTAAATTGTCAGTAATGCATTTTGAGTGATTGAATTATAAGATAATAATTCTAGTAACTAAAGTGCAGGATTGGAAACGAAGAAGAGATTGCAACAGACATTAGCGTGACATGTACCATCCACAGAGTTTGTCAAGTTTTGAGAACAATGTATTAGTTTATTCATGCCACTGTAACAACCATGTGCTGTGAAAAAATGTTGAATAAAAGTTGTAATTTGCAATAAAAATAATAACACTTACACGTGCTCAATCTTTTTCTCATACATTTTATTGGGTACCACTCATCTCATTTTGTAGAGTTGGGTGGTCCTGAGAATGACTTCAAAAGTGTCCCTTAATAGTTTATTTTAATAATTAGCAATTATGCCGCCCTTAGTTGTTCTTAAATATGTTCATGATATACAATTATATGACATCAAAGTGTCCCCATGTCTTCAAAAATGTCCCTTAATATATATAATTTAATAATTTGCATTTATGTCACCATTACTTGGTCATGAATATAACAAATTAATATGACCTCAAAAGTGTCCCCATGTCTTCAAAAGTGTCCTTTAATATTTTTAATTTAATAATTTGCATTTATGTCACCATTACTTGTTAACGAATATAACAAATTAATATGACCTCAAAAGTGTCCCCATGTCTTCAAAAGTGTCCTTTAATATTATAATTTAATAATTTGCATTTATGTCACCATTACTTGTTAATGAATATAACAAATTAATATGACCTCAAAAGTGTCCCCATGTCTTCAAAAGTGTCCTTTAATATATATAATTTAATAATTTGCATTTATGTCACCATTACTTGGTCATGAATATAACAAATTAATATGACCTCAAAAGTGTCCCCATGTCTTCAAAAATGTCCCTTAATATATATATAATTTATTAATTTGCATTTATGTCACCATTACTTGTTAATGAATATAACAAATTAATATGACCTCAAAAGTGTCCCCATGTCTTCAAAAGTGTCCTTTAATATTTTTAATTTAATAATTTGCATTTATGTCACCATTACTTGGTCATGAATATAACAAATTAATATGACCTCAAAATTGTCCCCATGTCTTCAAAAGTGTCTTTTAATATTTTTAATTTAATAATTTGCATTTATGTCACCATTACTTGTTAATGAATATAACAAATTAATATGACCTCAAAAGTGTCCCCATGTCTTCAAAAGTGTCTTTTAATATTTTTAATTTAATAATTTGCATTTATGTCACCATTACTTGTTCATGAATATAACAAATTAATATGACCTCAAAAGTGTCCCTATGTCTTCAAAAGTGTCTTTTAATATATATAATTTAATAATTTGCATTTATGTCACCATTACTTGTTAATGAATATAACAAATTAATATGACCTCAAAAGTGTCCCCATGTCTTCAAAAATGTCCCTTAATATTTTTAATTTAATAATTTGCATTTATGTCACCATTACTTGTTCATGAATATAACAAATTAATATGACCTCAAAAGTGTCCCCATGTCTTCAAAAGTGTCTTTTAATATTTTTAATTTAATAATTTGCATTTATGTCACCATTACTTGTTCATGAATATAACAAATTAATATGACCTCAAAAGTGTCCCCATGTCTTCAAAAGTGTCTTTTAATATATATAATTTAATAATTTGCATTTATGTCACCATTACTTGTTAATGAATATAACAAATTAATATGACCTCAAAAGTGTCCCCATGTCTTCAAAAATGTCCCTTAATATTTTTAATTTAATAATTTGCATTTATGTCACCATTACTTGTTCATGAATATAACAAATTAATATGACCTCAAAAGTGTCCCTATGTCTTCAAAAGTGTCTTTTAATATATATAATTTAATAATTTGCATTTATGTCACCATTACTTGTTCATGAATATAACAAATTAATATGACCTCAAAAGTGTCCCTATGTCTTCAAAAGTGTCTTTTAATATATATAATTTAATAATTTGCATTTATGTCACCATTACTTGTTAATGAATATAACAAATAATATGACCTCAAAAGTGTCCCCATGTCTTCAAAAGTGTCCTTTAATATATATAATTTAATAATTTGCATTTATGTCACCATTACTTGGTCATGAATATAACAAATTAATATGACCTCAAAAGTGTCCCCATGTCTTCAAAAGTGTCCTTTAATATATTTAATTTAATAATTTGCATTTATGTCACCATTACTTGGTCATAAATATAACAAATTAATGTGACCTCAAAAGTGTCCCCATGTCTTCAAAAGTGTCCCTTAATATTTTTAATTTAATAATTTGCATTTATGTCACCATTACTTGTTAATGAATATAACAAATTAATATGACCTCAAAAGTGTCCCCATGTCTTCAAAAGTGTCCTTTAATATATATAATTTAATAATTTGCATTTATGTCACCATTACTTGTTAATGAATATAACAAATTAATATGACCTCAAAAGTGTCCCCATGTCTTCAAAAGTGTCCTTTAATATATTTAATTTAATAATTTGCATTTATGTCACCATTACTTGGTCATGAATATAACAAATTAATATGACCTCAAAAGTGTCCCCATGTCTTCAAAAGTGTCCCCTGATATTTTTAATTTAATAATTTGCATTTATGGTACAATTAGTGGTTAATGAATATAACAAATTAATATGACCTCAAAAGTGTCCCCATGTCTTCAAAAATGTCCCTTAATATATATAATTTAATAATTTGCATTTATGTCACCATTACTTGGTCATGAATATAACAAATTAATATGACCTCAAAAGTGTCCCCATGTCTTCAAAAGTGTCCTTTAATATTTTTAATTTAATAATTTGCATTTATGTCACCATTACTTGTTAATGAATATAACAAATTAATATGACCTCAAAAGTGTCCCCATGTCTTCAAAAGTGTCCTTTAATATTATAATTTAATAATTTGCATTTATGTCACCATTACTTGTTAATGAATATAACAAATTAATATGACCTCAAAAGTGTCCCCATGTCTTCAAAAGTGTCCTTTAATATATATAATTTAATAATTTGCATTTATGTCACCATTACTTGGTCATGAATATAACAAATTAATATGACCTCAAAAGTGTCCCCATGTCTTCAAAAATGTCCCTTAATATATATATAATTTATTAATTTGCATTTATGTCACCATTACTTGTTAATGAATATAACAAATTAATATGACCTCAAAAGTGTCCCCATGTCTTCAAAAGTGTCCTTTAATATTTTTAATTTAATAATTTGCATTTATGTCACCATTACTTGGTCATGAATATAACAAATTAATATGACCTCAAAATTGTCCCCATGTCTTCAAAAGTGTCTTTTAATATTTTTAATTTAATAATTTGCATTTATGTCACCATTACTTGTTAATGAATATAACAAATTAATGTGACCTCAAAAGTGTCCCCATGTCTTCAAAAGTGTCCTTTAATATTTTTAATTTAATAATTTGCATTTATGTCACCATTACTTGTTAATGAATATAACAAATTAATATGACCTCAAAAGTGTCCCCATGTCTTCAAAAGTGTCCTTTAATATTATAATTTAATAATTTGCATTTATGTCACCATTACTTGTTAATGAATATAACAAATTAATATGACCTCAAAAGTGTCCCCATGTCTTCAAAAGTGTCCTTTAATATATATAATTTAATAATTTGCATTTATGTCACCATTACTTGGTCATGAATATAACAAATTAATATGACCTCAAAAGTGTCCCCATGTCTTCAAAAATGTCCCTTAATATATATAATTTATTAATTTGCATTTATGTCACCATTACTTGTTAATGAATATAACAAATTAATATGACCTCAAAAGTGTCCCCATGTCTTCAAAAGTGTCCTTTAATATTTTTAATTTAATAATTTGCATTTATGTCACCATTACTTGGTCATGAATATAACAAATTAATATGACCTCAAAATTGTCCCCATGTCTTCAAAAGTGTCTTTTAATATTTTTAATTTAATAATTTGCATTTATGTCACCATTACTTGTTAATGAATATAACAAATTAATGTGACCTCAAAAGTGTCCCCATGTCTTCAAAAGTGTCTTTTAATATTATAATTTAATAATTTGCATTTATGTCACCATTACTTGTTAATGAATATAACAAATTAATATGACCTCAAAAGTGTCCCCATGTCTTCAAAAGTGTCCTTTAATATATTTAATTTAATAATTTGCATTTATGTCACCATTACTTGGTCATGAATATAACAAATTAATATGACCTCAAAAGTGTCCCCATGTCTTCAAAAGTGTCCCCTGATATTTTTAATTTAATAATTTGCATTTATGGTACAATTAGTGGTTAATGAATATAACAAATTAATATGACCTCAAAAGTGTCCCCATGTCTTCAAAAATGTCCCTTAATATATATAATTTAATAATTTGCATTTATGTCACCATTACTTGGTCATGAATATAACAAATTAATATGACCTCAAAAGTGTCCCCATGTCTTCAAAAGTGTCCTTTAATATTTTTAATTTAATAATTTGCATTTATGTCACCATTACTTGTTAATGAATATAACAAATTAATATGACCTCAAAAGTGTCCCCATGTCTTCAAAAGTGTCCTTTAATATTATAATTTAATAATTTGCATTTATGTCACCATTACTTGTTAATGAATATAACAAATTAATATGACCTCAAAAGTGTCCCCATGTCTTCAAAAGTGTCCTTTAATATATATAATTTAATAATTTGCATTTATGTCACCATTACTTGGTCATGAATATAACAAATTAATATGACCTCAAAAGTGTCCCCATGTCTTCAAAAATGTCCCTTAATATATATAATTTATTAATTTGCATTTATGTCACCATTACTTGTTAATGAATATAACAAATTAATATGACCTCAAAAGTGTCCCCATGTCTTCAAAAGTGTCCTTTAATATTTTTAATTTAATAATTTGCATTTATGTCACCATTACTTGGTCATGAATATAACAAATTAATATGACCTCAAAATTGTCCCCATGTCTTCAAAAGTGTCTTTTAATATTTTTAATTTAATAATTTGCATTT